ATGAAATAAACAACATAAACTAACAGAATGATCACATTGGATGTATAAAATAAAAACTCCTAAATCTTTTAACAGATTTTCACATGAAAAAATATAAACATAATGGGAATACTAAAACCAGAAAAGTCATAATCAAAATATCGAAAAGTACCTTTGAAACTTCATGAACAACACGGGATTCATCTGAGGATCCAAAAGAATTGATAAGCTGTCCAAAGATAACAGTCATGAGAGGCTGAGTTAACCCATTGGCAATGGCTCCTATGGTTCCAAACACCATTAACAAAGCATCAAGCCGGTCTGCGAAAGAGAAGAGTTTGAAGAATGAAACTTTCTGATCTCCTCCTTTCCCATTCTCTCTCCTCTTTCCTTCCCCTCCTTCCGTCATCTTCTTAGCCTATAAATCCCTTCTCCCTCTCTGCCCGACCGCGAATATATATATATATATATAGATATAGGAAGATATATATAGATGTGTGTGTGTGTGTGTGTGGTAATGAATGTATCTGTGTATGAGAGTCTTGTGATGATGAAAAGCGGAGGTGGGTGATGAACAGAAGAAGGGCTTGATATAGCTTTGTAAACGTGAGATGTTAGAGAGAAATCTATGTAGTGAGATGTATCTATATGTGTTTGAGAGTCATTGTCTCATAACAACTTCTGCTTATTTATAGTCCAATGATATACCTATTCTTTTTTTACTTTTTTTTATTTTCATCTAAAATTAGTAGTCACGTTCTACAATGCCAAATCTAGCTTTTCCCTCTTTCTCTGGGAATCTAGCATCTAGAAGCTCTTTATTAGTTAACGTAGTCAGATCCATCTAACTCTAATGTACGCAGGGATGTCAATTTTAGACGGGATACAAAATCCACGTCGAATTAACGGAAATTTTATGAATCGAAAGTTATAATTTTTAATGACGAGTTTATACTTTTAAAAACTAAAATTATAATTAGTTGAGAAAAGTCTATGATCCATCATGGTTATTCATGGTCGATTATAGGATTCTCTTAAACAATTATAATTCCTCTTTTACAAGTTATAAATTGATATTTAAAAGTCATAACTCAACTTTTGAAAGTTGTAATTTTTATGATCGGTAGATGTATTTTCGGATCGATCATATCTTTGTAAGTTGTAACTTATATTTTAACTTAGCCTTAAAAAATTATAATTTTTTGGTATGATACCGTAGACTCTCCCTTATTATTGGGTTTGGATTAAACTTTTAACAAGTTCAAATAGTAAACGAGTGGACCATTATACTCTTTAAATAAATAGATCAACATAAATATAACAACCCAACTAAACACGGTTTTTACGCAACACGAAGCTAAAACAATACAAACCCAGTTACACACAAATATAAATGAGTCAGGTAGGAGTTGAGCAAAATTTTACACAACACGAATTCTACAAGATACGGCCAATTGACAGCCCTACTCTTACGTACTTGCTTACATTTCCTTCCATGAATTCAAGTGATTTTTTTTAACAAAATCACCATCTTATTAATAGTCCTTTGTTTTGGAATGAAACAATCTTAAATGGGTCATTTTATTTAACCAGATCCCAAACAAATTATAGTTATAAAATAGACATAACAAAAGTCTATGTCCATGAACAAAACTGATGGAGAATCAGAATATGAAAAGTGATATAGAATATAACCTTATAATGACTGCTCCAGTTTGCCATGAATTTGCAACATATACTATCCAAAAATTTCTAATCCTATCCGATTAGGTGAATATCGAACAGAATACAAGACATTCGCGCGACACTATTCAGATAGTTATGTATGAACTCCAAGCGGTAGTCCAATGAAGATAAGACGTGCTGTAAATTTAGACGTTTTGAGTTTGAAATTTGACAATTCTTTTAGAGCCGGGTCACAAGGGATTCATCCCTCACAAATTCCCTAATTTTGCTCGTGAATTTGACTTTACTCGGACCAGTGAGAAGATTAGTCAATGTATACATAATCTGGTTCAGACATCCTTGACCGCAATATTAGAAAAAAAAATTATGTATGCAATCTTTGTTTGTACAGAGGATTAATGTGTTAAACTTGAGACGGCCAGATTATGATATTATGTAAATCACCGGCTATTCTAGAAAGTTTTGCTAGTAAAAAATATGTAACATAAACATTTATTTACTACACTCTGAGTTAGTATGTAACTGAATAATCAAATCTCTTGTGATTTTTTTTTTCTTTCTAGGGCATGTAAGTTATTATGATAATAATTAGTTATTGTAATTAAAATGGTAGTAATATTTTGCCAATACAAAGAGAACCGAGGATTCTGATCTTAAGAGTTATCTTATTTAGATCACAACACATCCACACATCTATATAATAAAATAGTTATATTATTTGTCTTGAATTTTTTGTAGTTCAAATCGTTTTAATCCGATGATCCTAATAGGACTTTGATTCTTTTTATAACTCTAAGACTTCAATCTCTCATGTAACTCTTTTTTTATCCATCTTATACTCTCTCTTTCTCTCGTACTATTATCTTTTAGAGCTGAGTCATGAGGAATGTATCATACATAAATACCTTAATTCTAACATGAATGACTTATCTTTAACTGAAATCAAAAAAATAATTAAAATGAGCATAAACTAGTTCAGACATCCTAAGCCGTTAAACTTACAAAAAAAATCAACAATTAACGATAAGTATTTAACTATAAGGATAAGGTACAAAAGAATACTTGTTGGTACAGTTGCCCTAATTAGATTAGCAAAGTCCTATCAAGGACATCTTGGTTGAGTCAAAATGAGTACCAAAAGGTCCAACAGAAAATCTCATGTCAAATCACAAGTTTTATTATTATCCTTCTTTACCCAATAGTCACGTCTAGGTTGTTTTGATGGATGACTTTATGCATTCCTGGCTAGCCCTTAGAATAATGAGTTTTTTCCCTTCTGTTAAATTAGCCAGAATGTATAGTTGACATTAATATCTTTTTTCGGATCCAAATTTAAGGTATTGGGCCACATATGAAAATACTAGTGAAAATAAAAGGGGTGGTCTCATAATTTTTTGTATGTAAAAATACTTTGTTACGTGTTCCATTTTATTTTCTCATTAAAGCCGAACCTAAATCTCTTCTTTCTTTCTTTTTTTTATTTTTAGTTAAACGGCGAAAAGAATTCAGGTTAACTTACGTACAACTTGACTAATTTTCTTTCCAGTTCGGTCAAAAATGGTCATTCACGCAGGAACAAGAATATTAATGAGGGATAAATCTCTTATGGTCTGACCCCAAAAAATTATTAAGATTCGAATTCAGAACGTTTAGGTTTACATATCGTCTTTATTATCACTTAAATTACCCGTGAAATTAACCTAAAATTCTTTTTGACCAAACTGTTTTTTGCTTATAAAAAAAAATACTTAAAAAAGTTACGTAAGTTCTATACAATTAGTATACAATTTTTTTTTTTATGTAAATCATTTGGTGTCCAGTTACCACAACAGGTTCCGATTAATCCGGACTCGAGTTAAGCAGGATCACAAGGGCGACAAAAATTTTCCTACCGAGTATTTAAATACAGTTACATTCTCAAGTTTCGAATCAAAACTTTGGTTAAGTTAGAACAACTCAAATCAATTGATGTACGCGCTCGGTGGTTTCTAGTATGCAATTATGCATTCCGCACTCATGCTGTGAAGTTGCTACTCTTACACACCACGAAAGCTGTTCCATTCCATTAACATCATTGCAGGTTGCGAAGCCAAGGAAACACCAAGCTAGCAGATACTTAGCCCATAAGATTATGGTGGCAATTTCTCAGACGGCGCGATAATACGATTTGAATTCAATACAAAATTAATGGGTTAAAATTGATCATTTCTTAACACGAACCTATAAATGATACGACTCATTAACACGAATAATAAATGGGTTGAATTAGTGTCAAACACGAACAACATAAAATTAACACGATTAACACGTTTAACTAATATTATAGAAATAAATTGTTAATTATTTATTATTGTTTATTAAGCATTGAAATAATAATTGTATAAAAAGGATATTTTTACTCATTATTATTATGTTTATTAAGTTAATTTTTAATTTATAGAAAAAATATGAACATAGATTCAATTAATTGATAATAGAATCGTAGATTTAAATCTTAGTGTTAAGTTCTTTATTCGAGATTTATATGGGTCAACACAAAATACGAACACGAATCTGACATGAAAAAAAACAGGTCAATCAACACGACATGAATAATTAAATAGGTTGAGTTAGGGTTGATTAGTGTTCAATACAAACATGCAATGACACGACACGACACGACACGATTTTCACCTCTATATAAGATTGATCTATTATGTCATTAATATACTAATTATACATAATTCATACATGAGACAAATTTGATACGATATAATTTATTAGCTATAATTAATAAAAGAATCCAATATAATTAGAATATTTTTTAAAATCAACCCATTAAAACTTGGCACGGACCCATTTCGCCCGACATAATTGATAAGCGTGTACCTAACACTCCCGCACACTAAAATGGCAAGAGATGCCTTTTTTATTGTATATGATCCGCGACCAACAGTCTCCACATTGATCTCTGCACAGGGTGTGATTTACATCGGACTCTATTTAGTAAGGATGTTGACGGGTCAGATTTGAATTGATTTTCGATTAAAATGTTCATCTCTTTATCCAACATAGTTTATTTTTCATAATTCTTATTCAAATCTGTTAATTAAGTAGGATTTTAACAAATTATGTCTAAATTTTAATGTAATTTCATCATAATAACTTAATTTCATTAAAATTTACACATATATAAATGCACAATTCGTATAGAATATTGGTATGTCTAAATATGAATCAATTATATATGCCGTAAAGAATTCAAATTTAAATTATCGGTAAAAAATATCAATCTTTATCCACTTAATTGAACTAGATTTCGAATCGGATCCGGTCCAAAATCCAATCCATTGACAGGCATATTCTCTGGACTCTGAAGTGGCATCAACATCTTTTCTTTCCAACCCTCACATCCAACAGAATCTGATGCAATATACCAGCTAAAAAAAGTCTGAAAATAACAGTAGGAAAGGAATTGGTTCCTTTTTAGACAGACCATTCAATCACTGTCCAAACTGATACAGTTTGTAACTCTTACCAAAAACAATATAACATGAAACTATCCCATACGAAGGGTATCATACAATAAATTTCAAGGAATAAATGCACAAATATGGAATACAATTCTGCTTTTCTCGATGCGTCGGCCGAAATCTCATGCAAAACAGGAGAGAGAATTACAAGCAATATGCAATTGGTATCCATTTCAGTAAAGTATAGTCGACTAAGATGGATGAAGTTAACTAACAGCCTCGGCCAAAAGAAGAGAAAGTTCTAACAATGGGGCCGAGCTTCAGTACACTTCAGCAGCCCCGTTACCTGTGGGAACTCGATGGCGTTTTTCCACATATGCTGATGGAAACCAGCCAGCTTTACCTTTGCATTCTCCTTCCGACCATCCCGATGGATTCACCTGAGCAAAACCCATGAAGTTTAAGAAACACTGAACCAAGGAAAAAGAGACCAATGTCTTTTAGATTGCATAGAGAAGTGCCTACATTTATGTTGAGGCCATATGTGGATTAGAAATTGTTTCCGGAAAGATTATGCTGCCAGCACTTTTCACAACTATTATTATTATTGAAGGAATAAATCATTCAGTTGTTGCTGTCAAGCATAGTTAGAGAGACGGCATATTTCTGCTTTTTGAAATAGAAATAATGGGGAACTTCAAGAAATTTGAAAGAGCCAGTAACCAGAAGAGATAACATGTACGCTTATATTGAAAGTTCCAAAAGGTGGAAAAAAGACACTCGAATAGAAACAAACTAGAAGAGAAGCTATCTATCTTCAAGTTCGGCTAATTAATATTTCGTTTCTTGAAGGACCAATCTTTGTTGGCGGCATAAGCACTATTGAAAAAATAGAAATTAAAACTTAATTGAAGAAAACGAGCGAACCTTCCTGACAACAACATAGTCGCCCACATCCAAACTCAGTTCTTTCTCAGATGCAGCATCAAAAGCATGTGTTGCCTGAAAAGTGGAATTGTAATCCAGTGAAACAATATTCCAATAAGCATCTGTCTCCAGGTATATTGTGAAGGCAATTCAAAGGAACAATTTTTCTATAGGAGCAACTCTATAACACGACTCTACCCTCCCAAACCTCAAAAAGTCCCTTAAACAGTTGCGTAAAATGAATTCTTCCTGAAAGCTAGCTGTACATAAATCATCTGCTAATCATGTAATTAGAAAATACCTCGGCCAAAAAATACTTCGTTTTGTCTGAACAGAGATCGGAAGGAATTACAGGAGGAGCAGACTCTCTGCGTTGTTTCTCTGAGACCATCTACCATCATATCCCAAGCCATTACACAACAAAAGTTTGCTTTAATGTACACACATTTTCATTTTTGGGAACAAATGTACTCACCTCAGATTCAACCTGACCAAAAATAGCAGCAACTCTTTCATGATATATTTTTTCTCCTTCAGCCTACAAAAGAGTGAACTAATCATATTTCCAGCACGCGCACTCCCATATGGTTATTTGAGATTAAATAGAATGCCAATCTCATAAGATCGTGTGCATACATACCATAGCAACGAGCCTTTGGAATGTGAACCTTTGCTGCTGCGATTCTACAGCAGCCAAAGCAGCTGATGCTTCTTTTCCAAGTACTGCCATGTTTGCTTTGAGTTCGTGCATTTTAGACTCTGCAGCATGCAGCTTTGTCACATTTTCCGGAATAGGAGCTTCCCTTACCCGTGCTTGTCTTCTGGAAATCTCTGTCGCCTGTTTGCTATTTAGGCCAATTAGAATTGTGTGATTACAAGACTCATAACCTATCAAGCAAAAAAAGTTCTTTGAAATTCCAAGATACATAGGAAGTCCAGCTCTCTAATTACCTGTATCTCTGCTTCTTGTCTCATTCGACTGTATCGTTGAGCAAGATGACGGGCATCTTCAAGAGGAGCACCAATTATCATTGCTCTCAAGGGTTCCAAAATCTGAAGTACAAATGAGAAACTTTATGCCTCTTTTATGTAGAAACTAATTACATATATTTCCAGTGTGACAGAAGTGAATTGGGCATAAGCCATCTGTATGATGGTACTTTCTCGATGTCAAAGATTTAATAAGTGATATAGCATCTACTCCGAGGTAGATTCTTATTTTCCCGACAAAAGAAGCAACAAGAAGATCGACAAATAAAGAATACATTTCAGATGTTTCAAAAATTAAATGGGATTTCTCTGTTGTTTGATGTTATCTCTAGCTGCTCGTAATACACTAGAAACAACTATTTTATCTCACCATCCAGAGAGCAAAAATTGAAAGAGAGAAAAGGCCCACAAAGAAAAGGGGAAAAAAGAAAGGATAAGGTTTTTTATATTAATGTCTATGATGGTAAGAAAAGCTCACAAATGCTGATATCTTGCTGCTGAAACAAACAAGCAATGATGCATACATCGTATCTCACAGGTGATGATCTTTTCAACTCCCACATTTTCATCTAAATTCTGTAGATGCCTACTAATAATATTTTTTAATTTTATTCGACTCAAAACTCTGCTGCTGTGGGCACTGGAGCTTCTCCCGACTAGTTGTGATCAGCTACATAAATCCTGTTTCACTATTGTACTCAACCAAAAGGCATATTTATATTAAAACATAGACTACCGTATCTTTTTTATCTCATTTAAAGTTAATTTTGGTCTCCCTCTACCCCTCATGTTTCGTCCATAAGTATCACATCACTCTTACTCACTGGCACATAGTAAGTCTTCTGGTTCAGTTCTGAATATAGCGAAATAAAATTTATTAAAGGTTCATAAATTGGTTCTAAGCAGAATGGTATGCTCAGATTGTTGTTGCCATCAAAGACAACGTAAAACTTGAACTTCTAGTAGTTTTTTCCCAAAACAAAAGGAGATCTCTTTCCATTTCAATTTAGTATCCATATTGTATGTCCTTAATAACTCACACCCTCAACTGTATTTCAACACTTTGATTTGCTAGCATTTCTAACCCCAAGGGTTAGCATAAAATTATTTCATCTGATAAGTGCAGGTTTAATTACTCTTCTCATTTCAAAATAGCCGAGATAAAATTAACTCTCTAGGATTAACAACAGGTTGGCAAAATATGTCGAATAAAAGAAGCCTGCATCAATTCCTTAACCCAGCACAACCTTGACCATGACCCTCAACTTCTAATACTATAACTTCAAAAGACAAATATGGAATGTTGAAGAGCCACCATTTTAAATAGTGAGAATAGCAGAAAACAAGACTAAATGTAGAATATGCAACAAGTGATTGTCCCAATTATGTAGTCCTAGAATGAGAATAAGAGAATATGATGCATTGATGCGACGTCAAGAAATCTGTATACTAAAGAGGAAAAGTCTTGACCTGTGAAAATAAAAGCATGTTCAAGTCTTCCTGCTCCTTCTCCACATGTTTACGGGCATCACCATATATTGATGCAGCCCTGGCTAAAATCTCGTCAGTTACATTCTCAATTCCATATTTGCAACAATCCTCAGAGAATTTAGTTCCTGATACAATAATACTTGGTTTACGCAAGTGCAAAGATAGAAATTGAACATTAAAAAATAATGTGGCTTCGGGAATATAAATATTTATAAACTATTGCTTGGTTCCTTAAATTCAGAAAATTATATCCTCATACCAAGTAGCTACAGAAAGAATATTTTCACATTTTACCTGCTTCTATATGCTTATACCCAATAGCTGTAAATGCTTCAGCTGCTTTAACAACTTCTTTCTGAAAATCCTGGAGAAATGAGAATGTAACATATTAAGAACTTATCCCAACTATTAGGGGTCATCTACAACTACAAACAATAAATTTTAGAAATCCAAGATAAGCAACTCAAATCCCTGAATTATTGAACTCAGGGCTCAAGTGAGTCATCTACATTTTTACACTGTACTCACCATTACTTGCATCAAATAGCGGTACCATCCATAGATATGCAAAGTCAATATCTAGATATTGTGTACTAATTTCCTGCATTTCTCAACACCTTTCTTTAACCAGAAACTCATGCTCAAGTAAATAAAAAGAACTCCCTTTTTCATACAATTTTCTTCAAACGTTGACGCATGGTCTAATGATTCTGCATCCTTCGACATACCATTTATATTCTGAATAATCCATATACTGGTAGTGAAATGATCTACCATTATATTCTAACTACGTCGCTACTCAAGCAAAGAAGGCGGCCTTGGATTGCAGATGAGAATGCCCCACCATCTTCCTTTGACCAATCCCATGGCACTGGAATCAGAACAGGATACCAAGGAAAAGATTTGTGTTGATCCACCTCAACCCATCCTTTTCTAAGATTTCTCCCAAGTTGAACCCAGATAACTTTGCTGAAATCTCTGTCACTCACACCAGTTCCAACTTCCAAGTCATGGAGGTACCTCTCAAGTAGCAGCTCCAAAGAATCTCTAGACATCCCATCTAAATATGCTCTTGCAAAGTTTGCAAGATCTACCAGTGAATAATATGTTCAGCAGAAAGAGAGTCCTAGCAGGAGCCTATGCATGCAGAATAATAAAGAAAACAACAGCCTACATTCCCATTACTTAACCAATCTGAGCAAAAGCTAAGGGCTAGATTTACACATAAAAACATTAAGTAATAGAAATAACTTGGAGATTGGGAAAAATAAAAATAAATGAGGGTCTATATACTCATAACAAAGGTATATACGCACTCACACAGTCACATCTAAGAGGGAATGAACTCACAAGTTGTTACATTGGAAAAAATTGTAGAATCAGATATAAAGGGGGACCAAATCAAGATAATTGAGACCAAGACTTAACTATCAACGATCAAAATTTAGTTTTGGTGCATCGTTTTGATCACATAGGAAATGAAAACGTTTCGACTTGTTTCGAAAACAGAATAAAAAAAATAAAAAATTTAAAATTTATTTTTTCAAAACATTGATCAAAATATACCAAAGTATCTTGAAATACATTGAAAATATTTCAAAACAATTGTGCAAATTCATTGAGGCATTATAAAATACCTCGAAACATTATAAAACACCTCCAAATATTAGAATTTTGATTTCATCATTGATTTGTTTCGGTCTCCTTGGAAATGGAAATAATTCAGACGTCTCAACCGTTTCGAAACAAAATTTTGATCTCTGTTAACTATCAAACTCAGTTGACAACAAAAGCCCTATTAGACTCACCACCATTATTAGGCAACCCCAACACAAAAGCCCATACAAGACTAACCCCCACAAAAGATTTGAGAACTAATACGACTAAAACAACCCTAAATTCAAACACCCAAATAAATTATACTCTGATCTGGTCTAGGTCAGACAACAATACTTCAAAGTATATCAATGACTAAAATTGAATATGGAGATGAAGGGCAATTAAACACCTACGTTGGTTCTACCTTAACATCACATAAGTTTATAATTGCCTTTTTTCTTTTAAGCTCACTTTCCATCAGGCCTCTTAAGGTCTACGTCAACCTGGTAATTGCAGCAACACCTCCCTTAAGAGAGATTCCTTGTATATTAAGCAACATTGGTAGGCATTAATTACTCAAACATAGTAGCTAAAATACTCATTTAAGACATTTAAAGAATACATCTGTGTGTTAATATACAAGTGATAACATCTTCACCTTTCCTGCACGAGTAGACCTGTACAGTTTCTCCAATTGCTGATGTCTTTGCATCTCAACCTCATCAATAACCATCACATCTGAACTTTCATAACCACTCGCGCTGAACTGCTTTATCACAGCCTGAATTTCAAATAAAATGTTAGTAATCAACAGACAACAATGTTTCAAACTAGCAAACAATAAAAAGAAAAATAAAATCTAATACGACAAGCACAAATTAGTTCATGAATTCTTTTCTTGCAGTGAAACTTCTCAAAAATATTACGAAGCCCAACTGAACTTGTTGTGCAACTGCATGACGCACTCAATTAACCAACCCCAGTCTCTCTCTCCCCACATTATCTGCTAAGATGGTTCTTTCTCTCAGGACTCTATGGCAGTCCAAAATTGCATGCACACCTACCTATGTACATTTGGGAGATATTGGCATAAGGGATTTAAGTTCTTTCCAGCTCCACTACTTGCCAGCTTCTATGTCAACTAATGTTTTGCTGCTCTCATAAACCCCACTCTTTCCCATGCTTGCACATAGGAAACACTTCCTCTCTTCATTGCATCACTTCGTACTTTACAATAGTGTAGGATCATATTTCCAAACCTGCAGTGTTATAATACACACTTTTCTCTTTTCTCTTTTTTTCCTTCCTTTCTTTTTTTTTTTTTTTGGTTTTGAGTTTTGATCCCTAGTTAGAGCATCTGGGGTCCTGACCTAAATTTGGACTCAAATATAACTTTGACTAAAAAAACAACTAAAACCATCTTCAATCCTTTTCTCAACCCCATATTAAATCAAGGAAACCAAATCTAAACTCAAATTAAGAGAAACTCAAATCCTCTTCCCAAAATCTAATGGTAATTGCCCAAAATACCTATGTGAGAACAACGAACGCAATTGATCACAACAAACGCGATTAATTCTGTACCCCTTTTCTCTCTCCTCTGGTGAAGATAATCAATTGATCACCTCTGCAACAAACCCTAATTTACCCTGCATACAATCACCAATCAACCCCAAAGACCAAATCATCAACTCACTCCCCTCCCACGTCTCGATCTCCAAACCCCCAATCACGATTACAATCAAAACATCAACACCCACTAAACCTAGGGTCCTTAATGCTCAAATGGTTCCTATTTCTCACTATCCCTTCACGTGACCATGGCACATGCCTCCACCTCCCGTCCCTATGTTTCTGGAAATCCCATGGCTCGTTAGCCAGAGTTTCCGAGTCAAATAAGATTAAAAGATCTTAGTATAAATTCAAATTTAATCTATTGGAGTGGTCTAGATTGAGTAATGGCCGGAGATACTCTTATAATATTCTGTATAAAAGATAACGCGTTTCACTAGAACACCAATACTGCACAACACAACACTTCTTAGGGTCAAAACTCAAAAAGTGCAAAGGACAATCACCCAAATGTTCTACCTTTCAGTTTTCCAAGAACAAATTATGCACAAAGTAATTCAATCAAATTTACAGCCTTTTGTCCTGTTTGATTGCCAGTAAAACTAAAACTGAGAAGTAAGAGAAAATAATGTGAAAAAACCCAAATGATTCCCACATTTTCTCATCAACCAAAAATACAAAGAATGATAGAACTTATACCTGCTGTTGTTTGGCGACTTGTTCTCTGAGCTTGCTGGCTTGCTTCCTTAAGGCGTCCATGGCTGTCTCGCCTTTGATCCGGACAGCAAATGGGTTTTTCTATGTGGCAAGCTAGTCACAGACCCTTCTATGTTTTTGCTAAATTTCGACCAAACCAAGAGTTTTGTTGTCAGATCTGACAATTATGATTTATGAGACACTATAGCTATATTTCAAAGTACAACTGGTCGATGCTTATCAGCAAGTCTCGGCTGTTCCTTGCCGGGTTTATTTTTTGTGTAGGCTAAAGTCAACAACCCCTCCTGATATTTATTCAAACAGTACAATCACCTCTTTCGTTTTATGATAATTGTCATGGAAACCCTCCATTTAAAAAACATAGCAATTGAACCCCTTAAATTAAGGATGTCAAATTTGGACTTAACACAGTTAACGTACATGAACTTTATACAATACATAATCAATCAACATGAGTACTAAATGAATGGGTTTAGTGTCAAACTAAACTTGATTGTAGGGCTAATAATTGAGTCGAGTTTTAACTCAACCTGTTAAGTTCGTTTTTTTAAACATGACTAAAAAATTATTCAAAATCAGATCTTTTAAAAAATGAGTCGAATCTGAGCCGAGTGTGACTATTTTATATCTAAACACCCACATTTTGGCCATATGGTTGCCCCTTCTTGTCAATCTTGAGGTCTCTTTCGATACATTTTTTTTTTAAAGCGAGTTTATAACTCATTAACAATGAATGGTCAACCACAAGGAAAAAAAATAAAAATATTGTTGGGTTCTGAATTTCCGTAATTCATTCTCCTTTTAAATTTCCTAAAAATCGCATAACCAATAATATACAAGACCCTCACTTATAACAAAAATTGAAAAAAAACAAAAAAGAGAGAGAAGGTAATCTTACCTCTATTTTAAAGAAATTATTTATGAGTGAGGTTGTTCAACAGATAAAAACTAGCTATTCAAATCACCCCTTTATATATATATATATATATGAGTCGTATTTGACTAGATATTTTTTAATACGATTTTTAGTTACATATAAATCTCGAGTAATCGAGAGGACTTTGAGTTGCTGAGTTATTGTTATTAAACAGTTGTTCAACAATGTCACAATATAACATAAATCTATTATCATGTTCAATTCTTCCTTTTAAGTTGTATCAATCGAGAGTTGAGACCATTCCACAACACCATGACCAACATATTTCAAGGCTCTAGATTGATTATCGATATCTTGATTTTGAACCATGGTTCAGAGGTAATCATCTTGTGATCTTTTATGTCTTATGCATATGCGGGTATTGTTTGAATTTGATATTGACAATTACGTGTAAGTATACACGATTAATAAATAATAAAGTAACAAATAAAATATCGTTTTCACGAAAAATTATTACTAATAAATTTCAAGTACTAACTTTGTATCAATTCAATTTTATTTAAACAATTGGAATTGACTAAGAATTCATTAATTTAAAACTAAATCTAAACTTAATAATCAATGATTTAATTTACCGGATAAAAGAATTTAAGCTTATAATTTTTCCTAATATTTCATATAAATTTTTTCACTCTCTTTCTAGTTAATTGATCAAAATAAGTTGTTAACTAAGAACTCAAAATTATTTATCAAACCTCTTCCGATAATTAGATAAAATTATCTCTTCCAATTAAATTACTATATTCCTATGCAAAATAATTTAGAAAAGATTCATTAAATTCAAACTCTCATAAAAGTTACACACGGCATATAAATATTCATATCATATACACAAACTCAGCTATTAAATCAAAATAAATAAATTAATCAAACGCATGTCATCATATTCCGATCTAAATCTAGAATTCATCTTCCAATTTTATCTAGGTTATCAAATTAATTGTTAGCCACACAATCATATATTAAGCACAAAATATGACAAACAACTCTTGTATAATCAATAGAACTAGAAACGAGAGTAGATCAATTTAATTAAACATCAGGTTCTGTTGCAATTTTAATAAAAATTTAGTTTATAATGTAATTAAAAAACATCATTCTAAAATCAAACAACATCTCATAAAATCAAGAAGTAAAAATAAGAGAAAATAATGAAAATTTAGTTACAATATTCACTTTCTATTTAGCCTTCGCTTCTGAGTTTTTTCATATCGCTTCTTTCGATTCTTGTCTTCAATTTTCTTTCAATCCCTTGGTTTTTCCTACGTTAGCAGCCCCCCAAATCAGTATATCTCCTTTTCAACTCAAACCCTAGCATATATGTAGCATTAGAGTTCAATTTTAGGTCAAAAAAAGTCATAATTCGCGTCCACATTAAAACAAGCGCCTAGACGCTTAAAATCAGCGCAGGGGTGCTGACTTTTTGCCTTTCAAGTGCTTAGGCGCTGGTCCTAGAGCAGTTGCGTTGATCCCTTTTTAAGCCTAGAGTTGCCCTTGTTACTTAGTCTTCAAAAAATTCAACACTTGGGCTACTAAATAACTTTGTTTCCTTCCAAATGATACTCCTTACAAAATAAGATTAAAACACACAAAATAAATAAAAAGAAACAAAAAATACTTGAAAACTTGTAATTTCATTAAACTAAGAATACTCAATTCGTAAGTATAAAACTCACTCATCAGCGGGTCAAGCCACTCAGGTTATAACTAGTCAACAGGTCGGGCCCAGGGCAACTTGCCAAAAAATGACTAGCCCAAATGGTCGAACAGAAAGTCTATCCTAATGGGCTTAAACAATATTTTTTTTCGAGGAAAATTTGGAAGTCCGTACAAGTTTTTAGACTTATTTGGACAAAAATACAAGTCAAAAACTTATTTGGGGTAAAGTACATATTTTTTAAAAATGTCATTATTGTCATCGGTAAACAACATATGAATGAAAACTCTTTTGCATTCCTTCCGTTTTTTTTTTACTACAATCAAGTAATGGAAGGGAAAATATGGACATATTTTCTCTAAAAGTTTCTCTCTCTCCCTATTTTCTCTTACTCTATTTTAAATTAATATTACAACAATATAATTATGCTAATCACTTACATCAATCAGTTGCAATTGTCCTACAATACACCAAACAATTACTCATGCGTTCTAATAAATCAAACAATTACACAAAATAATTACACAAAATTATGACATCAACCCAACTTGTCATTCAGTTGTTTACATAAACTAAATAGTTACACCATTTAGTATTACAGCATCGTTACACCATCATGTCTTAACAATTGTTTGAGACTATGATTGTTACACCCATTAAAAAAATAGTTACATCCATTAAAAATTAGTTACACCCATTAAAAAAATAGTTATACCCATTAAAAAAAGTTTTTTTCCCCTATATCCCAACAACGAACAATACATGATATCTAATAAAGCATCTTGGTCGATTCTCTTTTTTTTTTTTGAAAAATTTAGGATTTGATCAATCATCATAGTAAAAGACTTTATTCCTTTTGATCAGATGACGTGAAAGTAAAGTTGGTGGCATGAGACGACATATATATACACACACACACACACATATATAAGTGTGTGTCAGTTTATTTCACTTATATTTTGCACCCATACTCCTTCATCTTCATTTTCTAGCACGAAATACCTCTGCTTTTGCTCTCTCTCGCTTTCTGTAAACTTCTGTTTTACCTCTCATTACTATTGTTAATCTTTACATATTTTTCAAATAACTATCAATGATGATTACATAAATTAAAGAAAGGGTGTTTAGGTAAAAAGGATTTTAATTCATTTTGAATTTTGTACCTAAACACAAAATTTTTTATAAAAATTGTACTTAATAGAATAAACAACTTATCTATACATTTTTGTTTAAATAAGTCTAAAAAATTGTGCCCACATCCAAAAGACCCTTTTCCTAAATATTTTAAATTTTAGAGAAATTTGGAGTTCTATCTCATTTTATGGACTTATTTGATGATAAGTTTATCAAACAAACTTGTTTAATATTAAGTCCATTATAATCGTTATTATCCAAAATATACTTAGTAGTTATATTTAATTAAAAAAAATTTGAAAACTAACAACTCCTAAATTTTAAGAGTTTGGCTAATATTGAAATTCTATCTTTCTATATCTATATAATAAAGTACAATATAATTCAAATCTCAAAATATAAATAAAATAATTTTTGTTTTTCGCAGTTAAGATCTCTTTAAATTTTACTTTAAAATTAATCTGACAGCTAATATTAACACCTCAAATTTAATAGAAAAAATATGGCCTAAAGAGGTGTGTTTGAAATGACTTTTAAAAAGTGCTTCTAAAACTTATAACTTCTCATAAATACTTTTAAAAAAAAATAGTATTTGAAACTGCCTCATAACGACTACTACCATCACCACCCCCCACCGCCATCAACACTACCAACCCCCCACCACCAACACTACCCCACCCCACCCCCCCACCATCATCACCGCTATCACTCCTACCACCAGTACCGTCGCCATCCCCATTACTGTCGTCATCCCATCACCCCCTTTGCCATATTCATCACCACCACTACCCCACCACCGTCACTATCGTCGCCACTACTATTATCTTCACTCCACCACTGCTACCGCCCCACCATCACCACTCCACTACCACCACCGCCATTATCTAACCATCACCCTTACCACCACTCGCCACCTCCACAAATATCACCACTACCACCCCCACAGCCATCGTTGTCACCCCATCATCGCCGCCACCCTTACCACCACCTCCTTCCACCCCACCCCATTGCCCCACCCCCCACCACCATCCTTATTTACCATCGATTGTTACCATTGTTGTCCACCGCTATTACCCATCACCATCGTCATTTCATTCTCATATTTATTACCACTAACACCATCATCCCACTACTATTGTCGTCCACCATTAGCACCCACCACCACCATTATTGCCCATCACCACCCACTACCATAACCCATCACTACCCATTATCGCTCACAATTGCCGGCAAAAACACTATCATTCACCCCCTACCACACCTACCACCACCACCATTGTCATTCACTACTACTCATCTCACTATCGCCTAAAAGCACCTATTGTCGCCAACCACCACCACTGTTAATCACAATCACCTTCACTCACCACCACCCACAACCACCACTATTACCACCATCACCCTCACTCATCCACCACCATTATTGTCACTCATGGATGTCACTACAACAATTGTCACTCAAATCCACCATCACCATCATCGTTGCCACTCATAACTGCCACAAAAAGCAACATTACC